ATGTTTGTTGTCGTCGTTGTCATCATCATCGAGGACATGTCCATGTTTTTGTTGCTCCGCTTGTTGTTGTTGCTGTAAAAATTGATCTTCATTCATTAGACAAAACGTGATAGTGTTTTACAAGCAGCCAAATCAAATGGCCCTTTAGGGTATTGGAAATCCGAAAAAAGGGAGAGGATAAATATAGCTACTTTAAGCCTTCTAACGAAGGGAAATATCAAAAAAGTTATCGCTTTTTCTGCAATGACATTTGGATTCGTTGGCAAATAACTATCATTAAGAATTGAATGTCTTAAGAGCTATTCATTAGTGCGGCTCAAAAGAAGTCCGGTCCATAATAATCAACTATTTTCTTCTATTAGGATCACAAAATTGACTTATAATGTGTTGAAATTATTGTAATTGTTTAATTCGCCATAGCACCACTTTTCGCTCTCTCTCCTTACCCCTTTTACCCTCTCAGTAGATGAAATGATTAATAATAGTTCCCATTTGACATGAAAGAGATCACTTGTTGAAAGAACTTTTTTCTCTTTCCCCTTCATCTGTTATTCTGTTACTTGAGAAAGAAAAAATTATGTTGTTAATCCCAGGAAAAAACAACTCCATTGGTCGAAGCTACTTCTCTTCTTTTAACATCTTAGACCGTAATTTTCAATAGAATAATGAATAGCGAATGAAGTATTCTTTCGAACAATACCTGTCATTCTTGGCACGAAGGAATTGAATGGCTGGCCCAAAGAAAAGTAGAAATATTTTGATGTCGATTGAATGTGTTAATGGCCCAAACTGATTGAATGAGATGACTAACTGACTGCCGCTGCTGTTGCCGATGAAGTTGTTGGCCTATGTCGGCAATGAAAAGAACAGCAGGAATTCCAAATCAATGGAATGGTAATAATAATGGTCATTATATTACAATAACAACACAGGAAAATATTCTATGGTATTTGAAGGAGAATCAGATGCTCAATGGAAGGGGTACTAGAAATAATACAATTTAAAGGAGATGAAGAAAGATTGATTTTCTGTGAAAAGATCGATAGATTTCCATGAAAAAATCTACAGAGCATGCACGATAAGATCTGCAGATCTTCTACGACTGATCTTGTTTGAGAAGATCTACCGATTTTTTACGAGACGATGTACTGATCTTCTATGATATCCTCTTGTCTTCTATGAGAGGGCCTTCTGATTTTCAGTGAGAAGATCTACTAATCTTCTATGAGACGATCTACTGATCTTCTGGTCTTCTATGAAAATATACTCTATATGAAGATCTTCTGTGAGAAGATCTACTGATTTTATGTGAGAAGATCAACTGATCTTCTATGAGAAGATCAACTGATCTTCTATGAGAGGATCAACTGATCTTCTATGAGAAGATCAACTGATCTTCTATGAGAAGATCAACTGATCTTCTATGAGAAGATCAACTGATTTTCTATGAGAAGATCAACTGATCTTCTATGAGAAGATCAACTGATCTTCTATGAGAAGATCAACTGATCTTCTATGAGAAGATCAACTGATCTTCTATGAGAAGATCAACTGATCTTCTATGAGAAGATCAACTGATCTTCTATGAGAAGATCAACTGATCTTTTATGAGCAGATCAACCGATCTTCTATGAGAAGATCAACTGATCTTCTATGAGAAAATCAGCTGATCTTCTATGAGAAGATCAACCGATCTTCTATGAGAAGATCAACTGATCTTCTATGAGAAGATCAACCGATCTTCTATGAGAAGATCAACCGATCTTCCATGAGAAGATCAACTGATCTTCTATGAGAAGATCAACTGATCTTCTATGAGAAGATCAACTGATCTTCTATGAGAAGATCAACTGATCTTCTATGAGAAGATCAACTGATCTTCTATGAGAAGATCAACTGATCTTCTATGAGAAAATCAGCTGATCTTCTATGAGAAAATCAGCTGATCTTCTATGAGAAGATCAACTGATCTTCTATGAGAAAATCAGCTGATCTTCTATGAGAAGATCAACTGATCTTCTATGAGAAGATCAACTGATCTTCTATGAGAAGATCAACTGATCTTCTATGAGAAGATCAAATGATCTTCTATGAGAAGATCAACTGATCTTCTATGAGAAGATCAACTGATCTTCTATGAGAAGATCAACTGATCTTCTATGAGAATATCAACTGATCTTCCATGAGAAGATCAACTGATTTTCTATGAGAATATCAACTGATCTTCCATGAGTAGATATAATGATCATCTGTGAGAAGATCCACTGATCTTCTGTGAGTAGATATAATGATCATCTGTGAGAAGATCCACTGATCTTCTGTGAGAACAACATCTGATCTTCTATGAGAAGATCAACTGATCATCTATGAGAAAATCCACTAATCTTCTATGAAAAGATCAACTTCTATGTTAACATCAACCGATCTTTCAATATAATCGTTCATATTTTCCTAATAAAAAGACCTATTAATGGGATTTTATCTGCAAAAAGCCTTCTTTTCACAGAAATCTCCGATGTCCAAAAACTAGAACATGTCATCTGATTGCCTCCAACATCGCTGAGTCACAGTTTTTTCTGTATTGCTCAAAATCTATGCCACATCCTTCGGTCGTTTGGTCAATTGTTGAAATGATATTTTTATTAAATTAAACCAAAAATTTACGATCATTTTTTCCCATTGACTTGTGGGCTTTGATCTTTCAACCAATTAAGTTTTCCCCGTTACGATGGAAGCCACCACACAATTCATTCATGTTCGTATTAGACATGTGTTTAGTTTCCAATAGCAAATGCGAGCGACCGACCATTCGATGGCAATCAGTCGGTAGTGTCATCGTTAATTTACGGCAATTAACCAGAAACAAGAGATCTATGAAATAAAAATTTAATTAATTTAATTGGTGACAAACATGATCGAGTTGTTATGATATTAATTTAATAAGAAAAAAAATGGGTCTATGGGTGTTGGGGCTTTTGAAAGAACAAATAAACAAGATAATTTTGCAATTGGGAAAGAAAAGTGAATCACGAGAAAGCCTGTATGGTGGGGTATTTTAAAATCCAAAGCCTATCCTTTTTGCTAAGATTTACAAGTCGCTTAGTTTTTATCTGCCTTTTGATAATTGGGATCTTAAAGATCGGCATTGAGTCTTTGTCCAAAATTACTGTAGCTTATGATAAATAAAGCTTCAATGACAGTGTACCCTCACCCAATGTTCGATTATTTTATTATATTTCAACTTCTGTTACGATTATTGAAAATTTTTACCCTCTATGAAGTAGATTGCCCCAGACCTGGGGTTAATAAAATATTGTGATCTGTGTAATTTGGAGACAATCGGACAAGAGTTATAGTTATTCAGAATTTTGACCCTTTATGTGGGAGGTACTTGATGGACCAATATTGTCCATTTTCGCACCTGACCTAGCACAGAAGGTAATATTAGGACTTGCAAAGTTGGATTATCCTTTCTCTCTCTCTCTCTCTCTCTCTCTCTCTCTCTCTGTGCAGTAAAACATTTTTTTGAATATGTCGACCTTTTGTGTGGGAGGTATTAGAAGGAGTGGACCGATGTTGCCTATCTCCGAACTCTATCTCGGGCGAACGGGCAGTCGGACGGACATCGCTAGATGGACTCCTAATGTCCTGAAACGGATTTGGTCCAAGAGACCTAGTGTCTAAAACTGTTATTTCGATTAGGCACTTTTTGGCCATATCAAATGATATACAGGGTGAGATAAAAACACTGCAACAAAGCCAAACACAATAATGTTTACATTTCTTTTTTAAATTTTATTGAATGAAAGCAAAAAATGTGGGAAACAGCATCAAATTTTAGAATAAGTTTAGATTTGTTCGAAATGGTCACCTTTGACATGAATTATGGCCTTCAAACGGCCACTGAAACTGAGACACGCTGCCCAAATGTTGCTCTGCGGTATTTTGGCCCATTCCCGGCGAAGCGATTACTTGTGGTGATCTACACTTTGGTATTTTTTAGTGCCAACCTTGCTTTCCAAAATACTCCAGACACAATAGTCCAACGGAATGGTATCCGGAGATTTTGGTGGCCATTGTGCGCTGGAAATGAAGCGAGGAACCTCATTTTGTAACCATTCTTGGGTGGTGCGTGTTGAGTGCGATGGTACCGAATCCTGTTGGAATGTCCAAGGTCTGCGGCCAAATGTTTGCGTCCCCAAGGCTTTTATACACCCTCCAGAATATTTTCGCAATAATATTCGACACTTATTCTGATACCACATTCGATTAATACGAGCGGAGAGCGACCATCGGCTGTTATGGCGGCCCACACCATCACCATGGCCGGCGCTTGAGTTTTGGTGGCCAACCGAAGGTGCACATTTTGAGCTGACCTCTTTGGCAAGTAAACACGATCATTTTGTTTGTTTACAAACTTCTGGACAACAAATGTTTTGTCATCGTAGAAAGCCAAATTCGGCAGCTCACCACTTTCGGTCAAGCTAAGCAACTCTTTAGCTCTTTTGAGTCTATTTTCTTTCTGTTGCGGTATAAGTTCTTGCACATTTTGGAATTTCAATGGCTTTACCCCATTGGTACGGGACACAAAAGATTTATTCAAATTTAAATGCTGGAGTGCTCTAAAGATAGCCACTTGTGGTTTTCCTGCCAAATATAAAGAAATCACACTATCACGCTTGAATTCCATCACGCATAACTTTTTTCCTGGAAAAGTCTCACCAAAATGCTTTTGTACGTTTGTAAACAATACAATAATTTTAACAACTGTCTGACGAGTGGCTTAGAAATGACAGCAGTCTGAAGTTGGTTGCAGTTTTTTCATCTGACCCCGTATACCCTCTCTAGTCATATGGCTGGGGGTATAAAAAACCACCTTTCGAAAGTATCGAATGTAGCGACCGTCGGCATCTTTCCACCTCTACTATAAGCATATATCCATTAATAAATCCAAAAATATCTAAATAAATAATTTCCCATTTTTTCCCATTGTTTTACAGATAAACGGCCCCCCTCTCGCTCCCAATTCGAAGGTAGGTGGCAATAAAGCTATTAAAATCAAACAAACAAATAAAAAATGATATCAACTCAACCATTTAACAAACCAATCCAATCTAGTTTATTATGTTGTTGCATTTTTAATGGCCATGGACGTGGAATATGACTTAAAGTATTCCATGCATGTGCAACCGTCGTTGCTTGGCACACGTATTAACCCAAAACTCCTTACTCGGGCAGATCGAATAGAAATTATCCTCAACGGCAAAAAAAGAGTCATATCAATTGTTTAACAACAACGGCTACAATTTCGCCAAGCATAACAAGGCAAAACAAAAATATTCTCCAGAAATTGGAAAAAAATAGAAATCATGATTTTCTTTGTTTTAGCAAAAAAAAAAAACAACAACAAAAGAAAAGTTAGATCCCCCAAAAAACAAACAGCTAGCTATCCGTACTACTATCGAACGATCCAAAACGAACCAACTAACCAACAACAATAAAATCTAAAATCATGGATGTGCAGCAGCAGCAGCAGCAGCAGCCACAGCAATTTAGCAAGGGATCATGCATGAATCTCGATTAGATATTCTACGAGAAATAATTTGAAAATGATGACAGTTAACGATATAAAGACGACAAAACCAAACAAACAAAAAAAAAACTGCAACAATTGTTGTTGCTGCCCCCTAGAAAAATAGTAACAACAATAAAAACAAACAAAATATCGATACGAGCTGAAGAGAACGCCACCGCATTGCAAACCTAACAGTAGATACAGTAAATAAATTATTTTTGGAAGAGTTTTGTCTGATATGGGAATACAGTAGCGTAGGTGGTGGCATTGATCAAATAACCTGACACCCCTGACACACTTAAACGGATTGAAAGATCACCAGTTCGATTTGAGTTATTTAGAAACTGGGAATTCTCCACCCACCTAGATATTTGCGCCAAAAATTGATCAGATTTCTGACGCCTGACAAGAAATCTATTCTGTCCATCCAACGTTTTTCTAACAAAGCGAGGTCAATCTGACCAGTTATGTCACCTTCAACGTTCAGATTTGAGAATTTTATAAGCTGAATCCATAAAACTAAAATCACTGGATTCTTACGGGAGAAATTTATCAGCAGATAACTTAAAGATTCTGTCAAATGTGACCCCCAGAACTTTGGGTAATTAGTGGGTGGAATTAACTGTCTAACGCCGACCAGCACATTTTGTTGAATTAGTGAAACACATGAGATCGTCCTCAACGAAAAACCAGACGATCATAATTAATGTCTGTGCAAAATGTCAAAGCTTTACCTTTAATATAGCGTTTTATTTCATATTCCAGTTTCGAGGGTGGCGATGTCTTCAAAAATTATATCTGATAACCTGAACGTTGTTAGAAGGCTCGGGCGTCTCTCTAAGGCCACAGATAACAAACTCTGTGAATTTAAACTAATAAGTTTTTCCTGGCGCTTCTAAAGGATTAGAAATCGAGAAGGCTATGACAAAAGGGGAAATTATGCTTAATTGTGCTAGGTTTGTGCTCTATTGTTCCGATTCGAAAAAGTATTATATACGAAAAACGATTTTTTCTAAAAAATATTTTTTGCATCTTTCGAATTTTGAAAAAATAAAAGTTGTGCTGAATTTTATTCGGTTTGTGCTCATTCGTGTTCCTAACATTTTTTTTCGATATCTCTTACTATTTACGAAAAAAAAGATATTTTCGAAAGTATGCCAGATTTTGAATTTCGAAAAAATAAAAAAGCACAAATCTAGCACAACCTTCCTCCTTCGAAATCTAAACGGACAACACATCAGAATATCGCCGCTCATCTGAGTCAAAAATTTTACTTAGTTCAATCCAGGGTTGTTTTAAGTCGTTTTCTTGAGGCCTGTAAGTCTTTACATATCCTGTTCCACACTGTGATAAAGGGTATTACTTCTTTCTGCGTTTAATATATGTCCGCCTTTCCATCTGCATGTATGTTAATTTTGATGGAAATCGGTGCAGACATAGCTATAGCTTCCATATACATGTTTCATCCGAACCCAATACAAGATAGGATTATGACCCGAATTTTGGCACATCCGACCGAATTAAGTCTAAAAGTGAGTTTGTCAAGATCGGTTCAGTATTGGATATACCTCCAATATAATCTTTATCTGATTTCAGGTTTATCGTGAACCAAATCATCCGGTTTGATGTTAAAGTCCCTCAAATGCGCTATATGCACTCCATACAGCTCGAAAATACCTCTGCCAAATTTTATCGAGATCGGTTCAGATTTGGATATAGCTCCTGTATATATATTTATACAGGGTAAGATGAAAAAACTGCAACCAATTTCAGACTGCTGTCATTTCTAAGCCACTCGTCCGACAGCTGTTGAAATTATTCCAGTGTCAGCTCATTATATTGTTTACAAGCGTACAAATTTTGGTGAGAAAAAAAGTTATTCGTGATGGTATTCAAGCGTGATAGTGTGATTTCTTTATATTTGGCTGGAAAACCACTAGTGGCTATCGTTAGAGCACTCCAGCATTTAAATGTGAATAACGTTAACGTAATACTGGTAGTGTAGCCCGACGTCAAGGCAGTGGACGGAAGAAGATAGCAACATCAGCAGAAATGGTTCGAAAATTAAAGAAGCGACTTGATCGAAACTCCGGATACCAATCTGTTGGACTATTGTGTCTGGAGTATTTTGGGAAACAAGGTTGGCACAAAAACATACCAAAGTGTCGATCACCTCAAGGAAGAGCTTCGCCGGAAATGGGCCAAAATACCGCAGAGCTACATTCGGGCAGCGTGTGACGGTTTCATTGGCCGTTTGAAGGCCATAATTCGTGTCAATGGTGACCAATTCGAACAAATCTAAACTTATTCTGAAATTTGATGCTATTTCCGAAAATTATGCTTTAATTCAATAAAATTTAAAAAAATCTAAAAATTATGGCGTTTGACATTGTTGCAGTTTTTTTTATCTCACCCTGTATATGTTTCATCCGATTTGGGGTTTTAAGTCCCTCACATGCATAATATGCACTCCACAACAGTGATCTTTGGTACCAGGAACAGCTCAGGAATAAGTCCCTAAAATGAAAATGTGCACCAAATGATTAATATCAGCCCAAATGGACTGAATTTTGCCACTTTCGACCAAATTCAGTGCAGAAGCAAGTAAATCAAATTTTGGTGAAAATCAGTTCAGATATAGCTATAGCTCCAAAATATATGTTTCATCCCATTTGGCGTTAAAGTCCCTCACATGCGTAATATGCACTCCACAACAAGGATATTTGATACCGGACATCAGATACAGCTCGAAAATACCTCTGACAAACTTAATCGAGATCGGTTCAGATTTTTATGTACCTTCAATATACATCTTCATCCGATTTCTCGGTTATTGTCCACCATGTATGTAATATCTAATCAAATTGGATAGATTTTTTCATATTTAACCGAAGTTTTCCATTTAGTGAAACTCGGTCCGCTATATCTATTGTTCCAACAAATCAATGTTATTTGGTGTTACTAGAGGTACAAATCCTCAAATGTCAAATATGTTGAAAATCGATTTATAGTTGGATATAGTTCCTAAATTGTAACTACTCTAAAGCCATAAAACGCATTCAAATAAGATTCATAGTTGGTATGATCTTCTTCAGATGAATTCGCAATATAAACTTTTTTGTTATGGGATCTCTACTAAATACCCATAGTGGTGTAAAGTGTCGTATAGTCTGCCCCGCCCGACTTTTGACTTTCTTTATCTTCTTAGTTTTTAACTTTTTGATACAGCTTCTCCATTCTTCTTCTTTTAACACGAATTTTCAGCTGGAAAAAATCCCTGATGACTATCGAAGATAGTCAAAATATCGGAAAAATAAATAGGAATACAAAAAAAAAATAAATTGGAAACGAGCTCTTAAGTCAAACTTTGTGAAGGCCTCTATTCTTCCCTATTTTATTTCCAGTCTCTCATTAGGGTAATAGAGAGACTGGAGGAATTAAAGAGATATTATGCTTCTCTGTTTAGAAACGATCATACCCCTCCATTGTCAATAACCTGCATACCCATCCCCTTTAGAATATTCCAATAAATATGAAAATTTTACAATTGACTGACAATTTCATGACTTTTTTCTTAGTATCCCCTTTGACCACACCTCTGCTGACCAATTGTGATTGTGTGATGTGTTTTACTCCTAGATTTTTTTTTTGGTTGGTGTTCATTGCGCTACATAACAACGACGACATACATTCATGCCGACCGTTCGTCTGTCGCTGTTATTTTTTTTTTTTTTTTGAATAAATTTGGTAGGTACTATTTTTATAGTAAATCGTGCATTTTATTTGCCACAAAACTAGCAACCGAAATCAATAAAGGCAAAGCTTCAATGATCGGGAGGAAAAAATCTCCCCCAACAACAGCAGCCGCAACAGCAAAAACAACAAGAAAAAACCGCAATTCAAAGATTCAATACATTTGATATGACTTGATGATGCCTAAAACTGCAGTGGAGAGGCATCAGCTGAGGAGAGGTAACGGGCAAAAATTGTATCTAAAATCTAAGTATGATTGTAAATATTTCCTTTTTTTGGCTATGCTGGCCAGCTAGCAAACCAAGTTGCTAATGCTGATGTTTTATGAGGAATTGTATGTACGTGGCATGCCGCCATCATCATCGTCGTCATCGTGCAGCGCATAAAATGCCGAAATGAAAACAAAAAATAAAAGAAACCAACTCGCCGCTCCATTCAGATGATCAGAAGTGAACGATTGCCACGATGCACTCGCTCACCGCCAAATCGAGCTATGCTAGGCTCGAAATCAAGAGATATTTTAATAGTCTTGTTGTTCTGGTGGCCGATTTTTTTTTTTTTTTGTTGGCCACCAGGAGGTGGGGGTTTTTCGTATTCATGACAATGATTAATTGATAGTAACGAAAGTTAAGCCGCCGTACTGAACCGTTTGCAGATTCAAGAAATTGATATTTTATTTAGCAAAGCACAAGCAAAAAAATCGAA